TTGAGATGGGACAATGATGCCATAGACTTTAATTAGATGAGACAAGCCATAGACTTTAGATTTTTTTTTTTTTGTGTCATAGAAAAAGGGATAAACTTGATTCTTACATGACTGAAATTGGTTACACTGACAAAGAGTATAACATGACGGTATCCAAGGTTCCAGTTTTTGTCCCATATATACCAGTTTTCATTCAAATAAACCCATCGGCGTGGAACTGTTTTAATAATTTATTCTAAGAGGTATGAAAACGAATATGGAACGAATATCCAAACTATTGTGAATATTTAAAGTTTTAACCCTACTAAAATTAAAATTTTCTATTTTCTTCTCAAAATTTCAAAAGAGTTCAAAATCCATATATGTTTTCAGAATATTGATTCTTATCTATATTAGTGAAAGTTTGGATAATGTCTTTGGCTATGTTATATTTAAATTTTTTGTTACACCTCAATTATATATTCGATATATTTCGTTATAATATTCAAAATAGACACTTTTAATATTTTTTTAAACAATTGCTTATAGATCACTAACGCTAACATATACATAGAGAATCGTTTTTATTTAATTTTGTTAATTATATGTGTTAGTCATCATGAATGATTTAACCATTTAATGTAAGTAACATACAAAATTTTTTTCTCAAAAAAAAAAAAAAAGACATACAAAAGTTTTCCAAAATTAAAAAATGATAATTTTCTAAAACACGAAACTAGTATTTTTTTAATTTATATATTTTGAAAAGAATAAAATGATTTTTTTGGAAAGAAAATAGATATTTATAAAATAGTTTTCTTATTAAAAAGGAAAAACTAAATACAAAATAAAGCCAAAAATTGTACCAACCTAAACCGAATGTCGGTTCATAACCCACAAAAACTAATCCGAAAATCGAAAACCGGATAGGACAAAACTACAGAGAGTTTGGTGTACGATTCGACGAACCTTCTTTGATGGTTTTGAGAGGAAGAAGAAAGCTGTAAAATCGAATTCGTGAAAATTCCTCTTAGGAAAAAATGAGTGGCCACTGTTTA